ACAGTAGAATACTTTGGAAAGAAATGAATAACTGAAGCTGCGGAACTGCACATGCTGCAAATCCGCGCATCAGACTCTTATCATATCACATTAAAAATACAATCAAACGGTGATGGTCACCATTTGGTCAGACTCGTTTCTTCGCCCAAGGCACACATGTCATGCACCTTGTTTACCCACAACAGTTTTTTTTCCCTCGCTTAAACAGTCTCGGTACACTTCCGCTGCGACCCGCGCTAGTCGAGTGAGATGCTCCTGAAACTGCCTTCGCAGCCGAAGGTGTTGCCGTGCATCTCAGAGGGGCCACCCGGCCGCCTGGACTCGTCGGTCTTGAGCGTCCTCTGGAACGCGAATATGTCCGACAAGCCCAGGAAGATTTTCCTCAGTTCCACTGTAACATAGACACACACACACGCCCATGAACTTGACTTTGCCGGTGAGGGCAGGGCCGCCAGCCGGAGCCGGCCTGGCACCACGGACACCGCCTCCGACCGGTTTGCACAACACCGAATTGTGTGTATTTTTTGGGAGCGGCAGAGTCCAGTCTCACGGTGTAACCAAACTAGCCGTAGGCCGCGCCGTGGTTGCCGCACTAGCACATCATCGGCACGCCCGAGGGCACGCCTGACCTACCTTCCATCTCCTCGGTGCTGGGGAGCTCGCCGCCCATGTCACGGGGCAGGTACTGCGGCGACACGTGCGCGTACAGGCTCTTAAGGCTCTTGTGCATCAGGACCTGCGCAAAGAAGGAGAGGTGGTTCGGTGAGCCGGGGCGCGCTTCGAGCCACACCGCAGACGACACGCAGATCGACGAGAACTCACCCGCTTCCTCAACTTTTCCTTGAGCATGGGCTGGATGAGGGAGAAGGTGGTGGTGAACATGGAAGGTGCATTGACAAAGTGGAGGTGCTTCACTCTGACGGGCAGCGCATTCTGTGGACAGACGGGGCGGTAGTCAGTAAAAGTGTTTTGCCCTTCACAGACACGAGACACTTGACTGACGGAACAACACACTAACCAGCGTGCACGTGAGGTAGTTCTTCATGGTGGTGAGCGACATGGCCATGATCTTGGCGTGGTTGGACGAATAGTTGGCCAGGTCGATGATCACCTCAAACCCGAGACAAGTGTCGAGGCGCAGGATGATGTCGGCCTTCAGGAGGTTGATGCTGCATAGCAGGTCCATGAGCTGGGGTGTCAGTTCTTCGGGCGTCGTCCTGACGAAGAGGATTCGGTGCAAGTTGGCGGTCAGCTCCTTGGACATTCCGATCTGCCTACAAGGACAGAGTTAGGGACCCTGTACTTACACACCATCTCTCATGCTACTAGGTGGCAACGTTTAGCTCTGACTCGGCTGCTTACATCAGGGAGGCGTAGCGTTTCATGCGCTCCTCGTCGATGTTGAAGCTACCGAAGAAGTCCCAGTGCGCCGAACGGGCGGTGTAGTAGGTGTCCAGACCTCTCTTCGCCTTCTCCATCGAATTCTTTGAGTACACGAGGTACTGCTTAAGCATGTATAGCTCGGACTCTGCAGGGCGACGCAAAACATTTGTTATTAAGTTAGTGTGAAACATGGCCAGGGCAAAGTGGCTAAATATAGTGACGGGTTCAGCGTTTTAATAGTATTGGCATGTTTGTTGGGAATTGGCACTCCGGGGCTACTCGCGTAGAGATGTGGTCGCGAAATGCCATTTCCGCCGCGAATTCGGAGCCGATTAAGACTAAGGATCTAACAATCTCCCACGCACAACAACAAAAGGACATGCCCCCCCCCTCCCCACATATACACACCCACAAACTAACTCCTCTGCTATTGCAGACCAACGATATCATCATTCTTTCGGGGCTCCACGCTATAATTTTGTTCACGTTATGCGACATCGGCGGGCCGCCGCCGTCCGCCACGCCCCCCTGTACTGACCACACTCGCGAGCACTGCATGATGATCTCGCCACGCTCGCGCGCACCGGCTCATTGCTCGGGCATTACACGCCCCCCGAATGCCACTTAGTGCGCCAGCCATATTACTTTCTTTGCGGATGATATCTCAGTCGTACACGAATTAGTAGTTTGTGTTGTTACGGCACCACACACAGCTTGTCCATTTCCTGACGCGCGACTCTCTCGGTCCTGCAACTGCCCCGCGGCAAGTTTGTCGCTCGGTGGCACCACGTAACGAACGCTACGCATAATCTATGAAGTAATCGGCTGTCGCCGAGGTTTGACTTCTCGGTTGGCACCTGCATGAACGGGCCCCTGCACTGCTGGCCCTTCACTCACCTGGCAGGTGTGGCAGATGGGGCTGCATGTTGACCCAGGCTCTGAGGGTTTCCGCGTCCTTCGCAAGGCGGTCGTCGTTCGTCTCCAGCTTGGCCAGGACCTTCTTGCGCAGTTCGGCGGGCACCCTCCAGCCCTCGGGCAGCACGGGGCAAGGCACGTTGGTCGACGCCACCATTTTGGAAAAAAGCGAAAGCTACGAACTCTTGTTCACAACTTTGCTGGCGAGGATGGTCGGCGTGTCGCACTCGACGCGGGTTTGCTTCCGACTGGAGGATGATTTTCGCGCCGGGCGCCGGTCCGACTCGAGTCCAGCGTCTTCCCCGCCCCGCCCCGCGCCCTGCCCCGCGTCCTGCCCCGCGCCCCGCCCCACGCCCCGGCCCGCGCCGCGCGCTTTGCTCGCGGG